ATGGTGGGATAAATTCTCTACCGTTATCAGTACTACGCCACGAGACGTTTACTAATTTGATAATCAAGAGAGGTCAATTTGAAAATATGCTTAAATCCAAAATTAGAGTACAAAATATAAACACGACAAACCATAATTAATAACGTGGTAGAGCACGTTGCACGTTTTGTGTAGTTTGATTCGGATTTTTAATATTCGTGGTAAAACCCGATTCAAATAAAATTCTCATTTTGCGCGATGCGTCCCTGATGCCCTGATGCATACAAGCTCCACTGCATTTAAAAAGTTCCCACATATTTTTTACAAAATTGTGGATTTTTCCAGGCCAAGGCGCTTAAAGGGAGCTGATGACTCGGAAAGCATTGGTCTCATCGCTCGATTTGCACTGCAAATTGATTTTTATGTCGTTCGAGTTTTTCTCATTTTCTAAGCGTTTTGTTTGTCATCCGTTGATAAATTTGTTTTTGTCATTCCTGTTCCATTTTCAAAGAAAAGCTAAGTTTAATATTAGCTTGTAAATTAATTTTAAATTTGGCTTTTTTACTTATTTTGTTTGAATTAAATCTGCGTGTTTGTATAGTATATAGGTAATAGGCGTCAGGATAGATTTTCAGTCTAGGAATCTGTCTAGACAGGTATCGCCCTCCTACATATTTCTGACGGAAGCAGCATTGCTTCCCCCCTCCCCCCCTGTGTTCTGAACCGAAGGTTATGAACATAGTTAAAAGTTATAAAGCATTCAATCTTAGTTTCCAGGAGTGACAATTAAGCCTTGTGGAGGAAAAATATGATTCCATATATCGGTGAACATCACGATGGATGCTCCAATTGCAAATTTAAGTTTATATTCGTAAATATTTTTTTAAGTGTGAAGTAACTATAAATTAACTAATTTCAAACTGATTCTTTCTGGGTGAGTTTGAGAGTATCCAAATAATATAGTAATAGTTCGAGGAAAAAGTTTATTCGTATTATGTTTGCATAAAATTGAAGAAAATTCTTTTATAATGATTTCTTATATTTACGCGAACACTACACATTTAAATAAAACTAATTTTACGGATTTTATCGCGTATATTAACTTATTTTGTATTCCCGACGTTTCAAGCACTTTACAGCACCCATGGTCACGGGGGACTGAGGTGTATGACGTCCCAATGACATAGTTAACCACGGCTACATCCACATTAAAAAATATTTTTTTTCCGATCTACGCAGTATGAAATTACAGTATCTTAAGTCAGTATCAGAAGTCTTACAGTTGTATGCTTGGGTTGGGATTTAATTTTATTAATTATGGGATCCCATGGGATGGGTGCTACCATCTGCTTGGGATCCCGTAATTAATGGACCATGGGTGCTGTAAAGTGCTTGAAACGTCGGGAATATAAAATAAGTTAATACACGCGATAAAATCCGTAAAATTAGTTTTATTTAAAAGTCTTTTATTTATTGTTTATATTATTTTTATCTGGTTGGTGTTAATATCAATACATATATATAACATAAAGAAAAAGAAAAAGTATAAAAAAAATACGTTACCGCCATTTTTCAATTGTGTTTCTGTCCGCCAAAAAGAGTGACTCTAACGAAAAAATTTGATACATTCTGAAGTTTTATTACAAAAAAGGGAAAATGCAACTCAAGCCGCAAAAAAACAATTGTGACGTTTATGAACCTAACGCAGTGTATGTAAGAGTAAAGCAAGGTCAAATGTTTTCAGTCCGGGAATTTTGATGTCATATGAATAAAGTCGATGCCATTTTTGAAAAAGTGGAGCAAGATCGGCATATTAGTAGTTACGACATAGCCGGGGAATTGAGGATTGACCACAAAACTCATTTCCATATGTTATCACTGGCAACACGTACTGGTTATATACACTATTGTTTCACGGTTTCGAAAAATACGTGATCGTACGATACGTACTCCTTACTTTTTATTTATAGAATTGTTGCTGAAACAATAAATAATGTACATACTTTATGTAATTTAAGCAGTTTGGATAAACTTCTGTCGGCAATATACTTCACCTGATTTAATTACAGCGGTAACTTTAAAGCTTTTCTTTAGAGAAGTTTCATCTGTCTCACTTATCCTATGCTAAATTATTAACCTTATGCTAAATTTCGGACTTATCTTGCATTTAAAATTTTCTTTGAATTCAACAATAGTTAAATTGTATATTTAATTATCCTTTAAGAAATTTATGAATAAGATTATGAATAAGATATTCATTATGATGACCTTTACGATGCTGTATGATGATGTAAAACTTGTTAATATTAATAATAATACCTAATAAATAATTTATTTCTGTTTTGCATTATTTTTATTATTTTTTACTAAGTAATAATTTTAAATTATTAATAAAACGTTTATAAATTCCATAATTATAATTATTAATATTGAACTAGACATGAAAATGGAATAGAAATAAATTTAAACCTTAGATTAATGATAAGTCATCATGCGGTCAGAGCGCGCGATGATTTATCATTAATCTATTATTTAAACGTACATGTACTTACAATGTCTGAAAATATTACTTTATACGTGTATAATATTATTATAACACGACATATACTCACGAAATGATCTCGTATAGTCGTGCTGCCTTTATAAACACGAAAGATGCGTAATAAATAGACTACAGATTTTACTGAACGTTACTTCCCTCCGAAAATAGATCTGAAACTTCTTGTAAAGTACAGCCTAAATATGTATGTCCCGGGTACAAGCTACTACTGCGAAAATTTAGGCGAAATTCCATCAAGTAGAAATAATGCGGGTAGTCTTCATAGCTTGCCGAATGACTTAAGACTCCCATACGGTCAGCAGTGAAGAATCCCGCGCTGTCTGTACGCTTTTGTTTTATGTTACTGAATGCTGGATGCGTAGATGTGTCACAATTTTCCGAATGCTACTCCGCAAAGTTTGATTACTTTATCTGTCAAAGTTAAACTTACCAAGTTAGATAATTTGTCCTCGGTGAACATACTCGCGAACTTCATTAATAGAGTCGTCGGATTCGAGAGTAGTGTTCCCTACAAATTCCGCGTAGATGTGACACAGAATACCAGCGTAAAATAGCTGCTTGATGCTGCTGTGTTTCGTATGGTGAGTGTAGAGAACTGGAGACCCTTTTTACTGGAAAGGAGGCATTCCATCTTAGTCCTCAAGGCGGACAACACATCAGCATTTTGATTCGCAAACGAGGATAGATGTAGATGTATATGGACCACACCAACCACTTACCATCAGGTGGACTGTGCTCGTTTGTCACCCTATTTCTATAAAAAAATGGACGTAAGATATGGTTATTCCATTACTTATTCATCAAAAGTCCACCGGTGAACATTGGCTTCCCCATAGCTTGCTTCATTGGGCAGATATTTGCTAGTTGCCACGCTTGGTAGGCGGGTTGGCATTTTGAATTGTTATTTGGAAAATGCTGCTGCCCATTTTCTATTTAATTTCCCTCTGTCGCCTCTTACTATGCCCACGAGATGATATGGGTAGTGGATTTTCTTTCGCCGCCACTACACTGCTACGATATGATCTTTGTTCTGTCCATTTTTATATTAAGAACCACCTGACCTGACCACACTATAGGGCCTTAGGTTCTCCAGCGATTCTGCCGTAATCACTATAGTGTTGGTGAATTAAAGGTTCTTGATATATTCGCCATTGATTTTGGATCAAAATATGGTGAGATATAATTGAAACACACTTTATTGTAAAAAAATTGTGATATATTCTTTCTTAAACTATGAATATTTAACTGTACAAAATACATGGGGTTTCTAATTTACATTTTAGTATATAATATAACAAAATAATCACGTAATATGTTATTCAATGGCAGGCGCTGATCGATCATTTGTAAATGCCTTTCTTAGTTTCACTGTTGCGAATTGTTGAGGCCTGTGCAGAAAGGGCATGCAATTGTGTTAGTAAAAAATCTTTAGCATAACTATTGGACCTGTATTTAAACGTCATATTTTGTACTATATTCAACATTTTAGAATGCTTACGGAGTAAGTTAGAATAAATACTTTTGGTTATGGATAATAAGGTTATTATGGTAGTGTTAAAAATATTGTATACAACGTACATGTGTATATAAGTTTATCAAAAATATTTAGAAAGTTATGACCGAAGGTCAGATTTAACTTCTCAATAAGAGATTAATCTTAGTCACTAGATCAAAATATAAAAACATAGGTATTAGCAAAACACTTTTCCGTTACCAACAAAATAATATTGAATATACATTAGCTGATATAAATGACTATTTTTTTATTTTAGAAGCTGATATTATAAATAATCTAACAAAAATAAACTACATTCTTCAGCGATTTAAAATTAAATCAAAAGTCGTAATGGGAAAGCTTACTTACGGTACGGGCTTATTCATAAAAATCCCTTTAAATGACCAGTTTTGTTATGCAATACCTCGTATAAATGTCTAAGTATATTGTCATAAAATTCTTCTCATCTGACAATATATTTGACAATAAGCAGTGTGCATTTCAATTTAAAGTGATAATTTTTCATTGCCTCTAGGGTATTTACCAACCCAACTAATTTGAATGGCAGGTTTATGTAATAATTGCGGGTCTATTTTATTGGTTATTAAAATGACGAATACCAACAATTGTTGTTACTTAAAATACAAGTAAGTATCTGCCTTACTAGTTTGTAGCACTTCCGGTATTATAAGTTTGTATCTTTTTGGCATTTTTTATGAATAAAACCGTTATAAAATAACGAAAAAGTATATTAGCTAATATAATACTTCTAAAACTACTGGTAAGTATTTTCTGCGAATATACTATTTTTAGGCTTTTATTTCTATACAAAATAAATTAAAATATTTATCATTAAACAAGAAATAAAATATAAATGTAAATAAAATAGCTAAATAATATAAAATAAAACAAATATACATACTTAAAAAAAATGAAAAACAAAAATGAACGCCAAAACCTCTAATGCTACTTATACATGACTGTTTCACGACCCCATAAATCGTACCAAGGGCCAAATGTATGACCTTCCTCTGGTAATCCACTTCCATCTACACTTCGTCTGAGTAACTTAGTACGTGGCAGGAGTTGGGGTCGCTGTTGTTTTAAGGCCTCATTGAACTTTTGATCGTCTGATTCACTATAAAGTCCTTCTCTACGATGATCTATATATCGTCTTGCTTCAAGCCTCGCTTCTTCTTGTCTTATCTTTGATTTTTCAGCTTTTTTAGAATCAGTTTCATAATCATAACGGGACACACGTCTCTCTTGGTCACTAAAGTATGATATATTTGCTTCGTAGTACCTTTCCTCCTTTCGTCCATTATACGGTAATGTGCTGTCGTCATAACTTCTGTTTGATCTACTTCTTAGTCTAGTTTCTCTATTTTTCGAATCATTTAAATCTTTTCTTACTTGACGTCTATCTAAAGAATAGTCTATTCTTGGTTCTCTGTTTTCATTTGTTCGATTCTCTTTTTTCTGTAACCTTGTTTCCTCTTGTGGATACTCTTTAATCTTCTTTCCGCTCTCAAAGTTATTTGACTGGGTAGTTTTTTCTTCTTTACTTGCACTCTTTTTATACTTAAGAGTTCCATCATCATATCCATTGTACGGTTCATCGTTTCGTATTTCACTGTCATTTCTTTCTATAGAAACACCATATATATCAGTATGCTGTTCATTATCTTTGTACTTTAATGTTTCTGTTGATGTTGAAGAGCTTTTTATCTCTTTTGAATTATCTTTAAATGTTTTGAATTCCATTGTTTTTGGAGAACTACGTTCATGAGAGAACTTTTTAGATTTTTCGGTTGTTAACGTGGAACGAACGTGGGGTTTTATTGGATTTATTTCTATTTCTTCAAATTCAGGCATATAAGCATTCTCCTTATTTTTCTTAATATCATCATCTAAGCGAGCTTGTCTGAGCCTATCAAGTTCTTGCTGCTTTTTAGATGTCATATGGTCATCAACAATAATGCAATCGTATGGGTCGGTACTTGAAACAACGGAATTGACATCGGAACTACTGTCGTTATCATATCTTTGCAATATTTCTCTACGCTTAACTGTTTTCATTACAAATCCATCACCATTTTCGTCGTTATAGAAACTGTTTTCAAAATTTGTTTTTATTGTGCTTGTATTGGTCAAATCTGAGTGTCTTGATTCATTTCGTGGATTAAATTCATCATGTTTCACTTCTATAACGGATTTTTCAGAATTACTCTTTTTATTTATTAATTGGCTTTGATTGTTACTTTTACTTTCCTTCCTTAATTTATCTGTTCGTTCTTCTGTTTGTATTGACCCCAAACTCTTTGCTTGTCTTAGCCCACTCGTCACTTTAACATCTTTTCTGTCTATTGTTGTTCTTTCTTGTGATCGCAATTGCACATTTTCAGTAGGAATAATCTTTTCAGTATTTGGAGATTTCCTTGGTTCGGGAACTTCTGGTGCTGGTCGTAATTCCTTTTTCAGCTTCACAAATAACTTTTTCTTATATTCTGGTACAGTATCAACTATATCACGATGTTGCCAAAGTGACATTCCTTCCATTATCTCTTCGGAAGTTGTACGTCCAAATTTCCAAAAGGATTTCGTCCTTTTAATTTTTTGGGAATCTTTGTCCATATCGAGCATATTGCGAAGTAGTAATTGTTGATCATCAGTTAAATATCCATTGTTAGGGTTACTGGGTTTTGGGCCACGTCTAAGGCTTTGAGTTTTAAGTAAATGTGTCTTGCGCTCGTTGTTTTGCTGAGTTTTACTACAAAAATAATTAAAATGATAAATCTAGCAATTCTACAAAAAGCAACAAAACAAAATAAAAATAACATACGAAAATAATATTTTAAAATTACAATACCTGATAGGTACACGAAGTCTTTGAGCCTCTTCGTCACTATAGTCCACATCAGGTTGTGGAGGAGGTTCATTTGAAAATCCAGAATCATTGGAGCTATGCAGTGATACGTTACCCACTGCCCCAACTGTGGCCACAGCACTCTTCGTTGGAACAGCTTTACTTTGTGTCACCTAAATTTACAAGAAGATACTTGATTTTACAAGAAATAGGTAAACAAGAATACTCGTAAATATAAGAATAAAATGATTTTTTAAGATCAACAATGCGTTAATAATATAAAATAAGAAGACATATGTTCCGACGGATTTCTACAACTGTGAGAAATTTCCGATTACTATTGCAAAGTTTTGCACAAGTGTCAATAATATGAGGCTAACCACTGTAAAGACAGTTTATAAAACCAACAGATTGCGCTCCTGTTGAAATTGGTGGAATTGGGTTATTACACCCGGCGTTGCAGCGTTTTACTCTGTACACATACTAGTAGATTATTAGTTATCAACATTATTTGGATTCCCTTTTAGAACTAGCTACTTTTTAAAATACTTTTTTAAATCAATATATTGATAACAAATTAACTAAATACCTACTGCAATTGAATATTTTAATTCTTAGTACCTGTGAACGCATTGGTAAAGTTTGTGGCCCAAAGCTTCTTGTTTCTATAATAGCATGAGTAGTAAAGCTGGCAGCAGATGTGGAGCTTTTGATAGCATTAGTAGCAGAAGAATTTCCTGATGAAGCATGGAAAGTCGCACTAGCTGAAGAACTAAGAGCACCCGGTGATGGCGCTGGCAACGTCGGTGGCAGTCCTGGAGAATTATTTCCCAGACGACCCTAAGATGCAAATTGTAGCAGTTTAGTTAAAATATAAGCAGTTAGTGAAAATATACCCATACTAATGTAATTACGTATATGAGTACACTAGTACATATCTCAACTAGAGAAAAGCACAACACAGTTAACCGTCAGATATTCAATTAATATTTCCTTAAACATAGTGCACATTAAATATGGTCTTTTTAATCCTATTTTTTATTTAATGTTATATAATAACCTTATAAACATGATGAGCTGTGACAGTGTCACCAAACATGCGTGCTGGTGGATGAGAATGCGAGTGTGTGGTATTCACAGATGATGAAACCTGAGCGTGGGCTATGGGAGCAGGCGGAGGTGCCTCGCTGGGGGTTTGAGCACAGCTCCAACGTGCCGGTGAACTGCCAATTAAAAAGAAACAAATTATATTTAAATTTACGAGCTTACAACTATAATATGCATGCTTATGATCTCTCACAAAGTATAAAATTATGATTGAGATAAAAGAATATCAGCTATTGTATGTTGAAGTCAATGTTTCTTAATTTTGTCACTCACTGACTGACCGATCATCTAAACTCTAAGGCACTTTTAGCAGACATAGAAGCTTCAAATTTGGAATACAATTATTGTTTAATATATAAATCAAGGAAAAATTAAAATATTTCTGTCTATGAAAGATGGCCAAGTCAATCTATTTATTTAAAAAATAAAAGATTTTTAGTATTGATGTGGTCACATAAGATGTTGTTAGGTAAGCTAATTATGTAATAATTTAAGACAGAAGGACCCTTAAGTAGGGACTGAATAAATTAACCGACTTGGTATTACATGGATCTCACAACTTTTTACGGTAGAAGAACTGAGTTGCGAGACTTGGCTTTCTTTACAAGTTATGTTTTTGATGGCATATTATTGTCTTCTATCGAAAGCCATTACATTGTTCTGGTATTACCCATAATCGGCTCTTACGACACCCTCGGGACGAGTGATAGATTATTTTATGCTACCACCACTCGGCACGGCATGTTAAAATATATGCATACTATGCACATTTTTAAAAAACGATACTTACGGTTCTTCGGTAGGAATTGGTTCCGTGTAAGCAAGGGGGAACCATCCAGCATTGTGAGTGCGCAAATTTTCTCCATACTGCCATCCCTTAGTGCGGTCCCCTAATAATGCCAATATATCTCCCTGTTGGAAGCTCAGTTGGTTTTCACCAGCAGCAGCGTATGCGTAAAGAGCCCTCGCTAAAGGTGGATCCCGACTTGTTGATGTCGGGGGAGCCAATGATGTTGGTCGTGTGTTCGTACGAGTATCATTTTCTACAAAATAGTTATTTTTCATTACTTTTAATTTTATATAACGAATAAGTTGTTGGGAAAAGTGGGTAAAAATGTATGGTGCAACTAAAAACAGCTTTTTATAATAATATTTTAGTTGTGTACTTTTTTAGGACTATCCACGTGGTAGAGCCACGCTGCAGCTATATTACTGTTGTAGCACGAATTGGTCGGCTCAATCGGTAGTTCCACGCTTTCACAGAATACCATCGTAAAATAGCAGCTTAATTCTGCTGTGATTCGTATGGTGAGTGTAGAGAATAGGAGACCCATTTTACTGGAAACGGGACATTCTATTGCAGTCCTCAGAGATGACAACGCATCTACATTTTAATTCTTAGTTGAGGATAAATGAAGATGTTTATGGGCTACAGCATCCACTTACCATCAAGTGGACTGTGTGCTCGTTTGTCACCCTTATTCTATAAAAAGCTCTTAGTAAGAATGTCAAAACTGATAACACTTTACTGTGATTATAAGTCAGAATGAGAATACCTTTTACAAAAGATTTAAAAAACCATTGTATAAGACGAAACTATATAAACATCAACAACCAAGGATACGAAACATTGACCTTCATTAATTACCTTGTTCATCAGTGTGGGAGCTTGCCTGTAGATTGAAATCTGATTTGGCTCTTGATAGACCTTGAGCAGGTGAGCCTAGCTCTCCAATAGATCGCACGTCAAGACAAGACGCGTCTACTGATCGCGTTTTCCTTAACGCTGATCCAACTGACGCCCGATCATCATCATCACCGTAGCGCGGACTAGCGTAAACATCTTCATCGGCCCAAAATGAAACTTGCTGTAAATATTTGAAATAATTAATTAAATATACATAATATAAAAGGAAAAATCGTTTCGAATGTTAGTTTAGAGTACTTTTTGTATGAATAACCGCTCATAAAAGCGTAATAGTTGTACCGGGTGCGGGTCTGTTCGTATAAAATTTTTGAATATACCTCCACGATACATGAGAAAATTAGAGAAAAGTATATAATTATTGTATATCGTTACCGTTACCGTTACAGACCATCACTGTTGAATTCCACTGCTGACCATAGGCCTCCCCCTCACGGAGGGGGGTATATTTCCCATAGCTACCACGCTTGGCAGGCAGGTTGGCAACCGCAGTTTTCTATTGTTGCTATTAGAAAGACGCTGCTACCCATGTCCTGATTTGTCTACCTTTGTCGCCTCTTGCGGCACCCACGAGACGATGTGGGGTAGTGGATAGTCTAACACCGCAACTACACGGCCATACTTATTGTGTAAGTACTATCTGGGTGACAAATAATTGTGTACTTAAACATCGTTTTAAATTTGGATGAGTTATAATGTTTAATAAGGAATGGCAATACATTAATTGAAACTGAATGATATAACTATAACTTTCAAATAAATTTAAAGCGAAAGAGGTATGTAAGGATCGTGACACTTGGCGATCTGTTCTCTCTGGCTACCCCGTCAGGGATTGTGCGTGAAGATAAGTAAGTTCAAATAAATTTGTCGGAATGATACGCGCGCCACCTACTATAAGGTAATTGTATTATGTAGCTAACTGTAGCTTACTTTTTATACTTTTTTTATATAATGTCTTGGATGAAAAGTCGTTGTCTTTAAAATAGTGCGAATGCCTTTTATATAAACAACAAAAATAACAGTTTTAATTCATATGCATATTATAAACATGAAACTATCAATCATATAAAAAACAATCACTAACTGGGTCAAACGTGAAAAGCGTCGTATGTTTGTGATATGGGGAAATAAAAAAAGGTTAATGGCTCATTCGATTCGGGATATCTTCTTTATAATTGTCATAAAAATTTAATCACGCCATACGATTATAATAAAAAATGTCATTAAAAGTATCAATCATTCTCATTTAAGAATTGCTATAACACGTTATATGTCATATTGGATTGATTAAATCATAAGAGTATTCATACTTCATGTACACAAAATTACGCCGAAAATGACAAACTATCAACTGGCTTAATATTATGTGGCGTTTTTTCCGTGTGTCAAGAGTTCCATTTATAGCTCCCGCCGTTTAAACATCTATATAAAAATAAGAGGCCGTAAAATAATTTTACGCTAGTTGCGACAGATTTTTATGACATGGTAGGGACGGTGCGACATAAGACGTAAAGATTGCACAAATATTTTTTCCGTTTATACATCATATGCAAACTAAACCAGTCTGTTAAATATATGAAAGTAAAGCTAATTTGTGCGATAATTTAAAGTTAGCAAAATACGACGTAGATCTTTATCAAAGCCAGTGATGCTCGTTACATCGTCCGCATGAATGCAGAACAAGAAGCTTACGGATAATATAAAAATACAGGCAAAGGGCTTTTTTTATTTTAAATAAGTGTTAAGTTGATGTTCAAATCGACCATTTGCAAAGTAAATAAAACTATAACATTTTATTTGGAATATTTTACACTATATTTATGCAATTTTCTTTGTTTATTTAAGTAACCAGCTTTAAATGGCCGCGTAAAACTTAAACAAAAAAAAAACTGCAGATTTTTTTTGTAGAATGGTGTTAAAATAAAAAAAATATGGTAATAGCCGATTTCGCATCAACACTAAGAGATAGAACTAAAATAAAGTGTCAAACTGTTTGTGTAAAATCGCAAATCAAAGAAGTTTTGTTCGAATTTTTTTTTATATATCTCTTAGTTTATGAAATAATCATCAAAAACTATTTATTTTATAATTTTGTTAAATTCCCTAAAAGAGCTGCATGTTTACCTCCTGGCATTAATCTCTATTTGTTTGTGAAGTTTCAACATAATTAGTTCAGCCATTCCGAAGATTAGCACATACAGACAGACAGACGGAGAGAACAAAAAATTTAACTATCATGTCTTAAAAGTTCATGCGGATGAGTTTTGCTGAATATAAGTCAGCTATTTCAATATTAGAGACAGACATTTTAATTTTATTTATATGTACGAGTATGTATACATCTATTTTTATTAATGAATTACCACAAGAGTTAAACAAAAATTACGATAAATCAATTTTTTTTAAGAGTAAACTTAAACCATGTTATCTGGTAAATCAATCATACACCATATATAATGTTAGCTAGTCTCAAAAAGTTTCGGATTAGCATTAATTTTAGGATTTACATAAAAAACTGGCCGCAGTTGTTTTTAAATTATAATTAAAAAAAACTTGTTTACCCTCATTTTGCTGACGAACATGGCTTCAACATTAGGCGGCAGAAACTCCCTAGTGCGTGAAACCTCGAGCCATTCATCGATACCGGTGTTGTATGCAGAAGCTCCAGCAGTGTGATACGCCAGCCAGTGTTTGGCGAGCGAGCATTGGCGTTCTAGCACGAAACCGTAACGGCGTCTCTCTTGCGTCATTGCCTGTTGAATTTCAAAATTCGAATTTATAACATTAAGCCTCCACTGGATGGAGTAATGACCTGCTAGAAGAAGGAATTCGATGGATGCAGGTGGCTCAGGACCGCGCTTTGTGGCATTCCTTGGGCCTATGTTCAGCAGTGCACTTGTGAGTGGCTCTAATAATGATGATAATGATGTTGCAACGTGACAGTTGTAACTTATTAACGTGTAATCCATTGGGTTTTAACTTCTAACAGAAGACGATATAACCTACCCGTAGTCGTAGTCTTCTCTTGTCATGGTACGTACAGTACTATGCACTGAATACAGCACTTTCTCCACTATAAATGTAAAAGAGAAGAGATAGGGAATGAGCTTAGAAACGCAAGTTATGTTACAGAAAGAATCACCGGAGAATTTTTACGAGGCATTCCATTCTAGTCCTCAGGGGTGAGAAATGCATTTGCATTTTGATTATCGTGCGATGATAGACATAGGTGTCTATGAGCCACAGCATCCACTTACCATCAGTTGGACTGTGTGGTCTCGTTGCTCTCACTCAGACTTGTTTGTCACCCTTTCTTCTATGGAAAAACATTTCTCAATTACAAAGTTGGTCTATGCAAGTAGCTTTTATAAATAATATCATGTTTATTACGACACATTTTTAAAAACTAGACAACTTATTTCTAGACATATTCTAAGCTTTGTAAGCTTTAAGTTATAATAAATACCTTTTATTTTTATCGAAGTAGCAATAAACATAATTTATATAATATATTATGTATATCTTTTATTTTACTTTATTTTAAATCTTGTGTTACGATATTATAAAGATATTATTTGTGAAAACTTTTGTTAAAAATGAACACTATATTTTAACAAAACATTTAAAAAGTTTATTTTAAGTACTCACATTTTTCAAGCTTTGTTCACAAAATGCGTCTAACTTGGTTTTCTCTTCTTCAAGTATTTGCATGCTCTGGAAACGGAACAGCAAAAAATGTAAAATTTTTGAAAAATAAATACCTTTTTTTCTCCTTCAACGTATTTAAGTCCACTGTTAGACGTAAGCTCTTTCTAGACTGCGCCAGCCATCTTATATTTCCTGAGAGTTGGCCATACTCACCACACTGGACGTGTGACTGAATACGGATACGAATATACTGAATATACGAAGGGTGAGCAAGACCCGATACCTTCGCACTAGTTAAAACTAATGTTTATACTAGTTGGTTGGTTTATCTAGTCCGTGAAACTTAGGTAATTTTGAATGGAATTTCGGGTGTCAGGCGGTTACTATAGGCTCGTACGATATTGATCAGGTGAAATAAATATTATTTGGCAAAAACGTTCACATATTCCTTCTTACATCCTTTATGGGGTAAAGTAAAACAAATTAAAAATAACTCGTAGATTTATTTTAGTTTAAATGATTTTTTGCACCTCAGTAGACACAGTTTTACTACTCAGTTTTACCACGTGGTAGAGCCATGCTGCAGCTATATTAGTAGTATAGTTGTATCACGAATGGGTCGGCTCGACTGGGGAAGGACCACGCTCTCACAGAAAACCAGCGTAAAGTAGCAGCTTAACCCTGCTGTGCTTCGTATGGTGAGTGTACCGGAGACCCTTTTTACGGGCAAAGAGGCATTCCATCTTAGTCCTCACGGGTGACAACGCATCTGCATCTTGAGTCTTTATTGAGGATAGATGTAGATGTCTATGGGTCACAGTATCCACTTACCATCAGGTGGGCTGTGTGCTCATTTGTCACCCTATCATATAAAAAAAAAAAACAGTAGGAGTTTGGCTGTGAAGGAAGTTATATTAGACTTCTTAGTGCCTTGCTGAAAAGATTTTCCAAAAACCGCGAGTCAGACTCGCGCGTGAATGGTTCAATCGTGGAAGATTTAATACTATATAGGTAAAAATACGTTTCTAGTAGGGGAGCTCCCTTTATTTTTTAATTTATTTTTATTTTTAGTATTTGTTGTTATAGCGGCAACAGAAATACACAGTCTGTGAAAATTTCAACTGCCTAGCTATTACGGATCATGAGATCATGACAGACAGACGGACGGACAGCGGAGGCTTAATAATAGGGTCCCGTTGGTTACCCTTCGGGTACGGAACCCTTAAAATGGTCACAATTTACAATTGACGAAGTTGTTGATACTCCTCACTTAGAGTCGGTTTGATGAGCACAGTTTCAATATAATATTTTAACTTAGAAAGCTGCTCGTCAATAGTCATCATTACAACATAAGATAGTCTGAGATATAGACTACATTTGATGTGTAGCTAGAGTCTCGTTCATTATTTATACACCGTTTGCAGGTGAGGTTACCATTTGGAGCAGAAATTGGGTCTTCACACTTTCAACCTAATTTTTTTTAAATATATACCTGGTATGGCTATAAGTTCTGTTACACGTTGAAACGTGTTATAAGTATTAATTGTATTTTTATTGTTTATTAAAGTCTAAGCGATTATTTTAAAACAATTTTATTTAATGTGGCCGCCTTTGATTTAAAAGACTTACTCCTGATAACGAATATATGGATTTAAGCACTGTCTACATAGAGAATTTAGCCACTGCAAGGTCTAAAGATTTTTTCGAATTTGTAGATGGTTGAAGTTTCTATCACATTTAGAATATTGATTAAGAAATGAAAGTAGTAGTTATACTACTAAAATGAAAGTTTGCGATTATTTAACTTTCCTCCCATCCATCCATCACAGCCGTCTTCTTTACTCTGTGGCCCCACCTCTGTGGACTTCCCCATAGAATTCCTCATAGGGGACATTTTGCCACAGTTGCCACGCTTTGCAAGCGTGTTGGCGACCGCAGTTTTTATTATTTTGAGTGGGAGATCAGGAGTGATCAGAAAGATGTCTACCCATCTCCTATTTCAGTTTCTCTCTGTCGCCTCTTACGACACCCACAGGTTGATAGATATGGGTAGTGGGTCTTACACCACTATTACACGATTATTTAATCATCATTATAATAGCATGTACATCGCAAATTGGAGAACTTTTATTAGTATTTATTACAAAAGTAGAGAAATGAAACTTATCCACATATCTGTAATTCAAAATACACTGTACCATTGATGCGAAATAAAACTTGTGTGTATGTTGCAAGTTATTTACCCAAACAAAACGCTTAAATCAGTGAAATGAAAGCATTTTGATCACGTTCATGGCTGTATGAGCTAAGATCCCTTTGCCTTTTCTGCACGGGAAAATATTACAAATACTTCAAGTTGTTTTCACACAGTTATTCGAATTTTTACCAGTGGCGATACTAGTAGATATTAATTTTCGAATAATCTCTCTCTCTCTCTCTCTCTCTCTCTCTTTCTCTCTCTCACGCTCTCTCACTCACAATGGATTCTATCATGATAATATATTTTAAAACAAATTTTAATTAGTCAACTCACCTTCATCTCTTTGTCCATAGCTGATCCAACTTTTGTAGCATTAGTTTTCTTTTTCCTTTGCTTTTTAATCGTAGCGGCAGCCTTGCTGTAACTTTCCGAGCGCAATTTGTGTTGCTGAAGGAATCTTTTTTGTTCCGACTAAAACAAAACGCGATTAGCTGGTAAAGTTTTAAAACCTAACTTTTGAACATTCGTATTTGCTTTTGTATTACCAACGTAAATATAAAACAACATTTATTTCCCTGGACTTATCTCAATTGTAATACCACAGAGATGTTTCATACTCTCCATAGAATAGACATGATATGGAATATCTTATCCCGTGCAAAAGTTTTTTAATAGAAATTCTTATCTTGCAGATAAACGAGACACTTAAGGTTATTTGGAACTCTGAGCTCTACTTATTTTATCCAGCAAACAAACCCGAAACTAGGGACGCAATGATTATGAAAAGAAAATTCTTATTTACCGACCTGTACTACTTTTGTATCCTTCTCCAAATTAGTTTCCAAGGGGACCAACAAATCTACGTAAAACGCCTTTAGCTGAAATAATAAAGTTATTGTTAATAATTATAAAAAGTCGAATATTTTGTAATTGCGCTTAAAAATATCCTTACAATGTTCATTTGTTGATCTTGAATCTCTCGATATACTTCTACGACTTTCATGAGGGCAGTTCCTGAAATTAAGGTATGTAATTATTAAATTATATTTCCTGTGCATCCAACAATAAAATCAGCCAAACCTCAAAACTAATGCTACGGAAAAGTATACGTCCGGAATAGATATGTGAAGATGAAGAATGACAGCTAGAGGTAATGTTTTATAATTTATAATAAAAATATTCAGAATTAATGAAAATATTTTATTAATTAAAAGAATTTAGAAGACTCTTTTTACTGGAAATGAGGCATTCTATCTTAGTCCTCACGGCTGACAACGCATCTGTATTTTAATTCGCAAACGAAGATAGATGTAGATGTCTATAGGCCACAGCAACCACTTACCATCAGGTTGACTGTGCGCTCGTTTGTCACCCTAATTCTATAAAAAAAAATTCTGTTTTTTATGCGGTAAATCACGCTGCAGATGTATTATTAGGTAAAGACACGATGAAGTCGGCTTAGCTAGATATTTTTCTGCTAATGATTCACTCCATTTTAGTCCTCAAGGGTGCCAACGCCTTTGCATTTTAAAACTTAATCGGTAAAAGGTTAGGTTTGTTTCTACGGGCCGCAACATCCACTTCCTAAATTCCAATGAAATTGTTAATTGCAATTTTAAGTGCTGAAGACCTGTGCCCAGTAGTAGAAACTAAGTAAGCAGTAATTTGCTCCATTACATTTAGGCCTTCAGTTCTCATTTACTCCATACATCTTCTTTAGTATGTCCATTACCATTTTTACATATACAAAAATCATAATACTTCTAACTACGAGTACTGAGTTATTTTCTGTCGTTCTTTAGTTTTACAACAATCTACGACTTGTTTGTCTTATTCTCATATTATATGAAATACTTAAATCAAGTCGGACTATAATGACAAGTTTTAGATTTAAAGGTCACAAAGGAGATTTGTAGGTTAATATCCAGATGTTTATTCCATTAGATTCAATTATTTTAATGCAGTAGTTGAGAGATCTTGTCTAAGATCAAGGTAAACTCGTTTAAGTTATATAAACTGAGCTAACCCGCACTACCTTGCAAATGTGACTGCAGAGTAAACATAACAGTTAAAAGCTAACTCGCATTTTTGTAAACAACGATGCTTAAGTTGAATAAATAAGAATTTAAAGTAAACGAGGACATAAAAGCTATACATCTCCACAAACGTATTATTTTTTTGATTAGAGGTTATTAAAATAATTTTGATCGTATTATAAAATATTAGTTTTAAATCAGGTTCAAGTGTGATATTTACCCTGATGTTTTTATGTTTGACGCCAGACGCCAAACTTTCAAAATTTAAATCCACGATCGAATTAAATAACTGTGTCGCACGGTACACGTTAGTTAATTACGAACATATTAGAAAATCGATTTTTATAATGATGAGTAATAAATCCATCACATCCTAATTCAATGATTACATCTTAAATTCATTTTATTTATAGAATAAGGCCGAAAAAGAGCACACAGTCCAGTTAATGATAAGTGGGTGCTGTCCGTAGACATCTACATTTAGCCTCGATCAAGAATCAAAATACAGATGCGTTGTCACCCCTGAGAGGGCGAAAATGGGATGCCACATTTCCAGTAAAATCTCCCCATAGAATGCCTCATAATTATTTGTCTCATATTTGCCATAGTTGCCAAGCTTGGCTGGCGGGTTGGCACCGCAGTTTTTTCAAGTTGTTAATGGGAAAACACCGCTGCTTATCTCCTGGTACACGGTACGAGAATACCGCCGCTAGCGCCGCTACACCAAATAGTGAAAATACATACAAAGTTTATATGCACATGATCAGATTACTGTCATCCTTTTACATTCTGTTCTTTTGTATTATCCGTGCGTCAAAATACTATGATAAATGCCTTAATATTATACTGTCTTTATAGCACACTAAAAACCTAGAAAATATACATTATTTTGAATGCAACAGCATGATTTTTTAAACCTGGTTAATTAAAAGGGTTTTCCTCATATATCATATGAGGAAAATAAGTTTTGAAGGAAACCTTACCAATATCGGCACAACCTCCCCATGTTCCTTGCTGCGCCTGGCGGCCCAACTTACCAACAGCGTCCACGTACATGCGAGACGCTGCTGCAGCACCTGATGAAAGAGAATAAATTCATATATTTATTTAGATTCAGGAAAATATACGCATGAAACTATGAAGTTAGCTAAATATATGTATGTCGGATTTTATCAATAACTTTACGTATTCTGTTTCATGAAGATATTATAATGTTCTCTTTGATTTTAGGTAATAAAATTTCGAGTATTTATTCACAGTTGTTCGTATTTTATACGCTGCCATACCGATCACCAGATTGCGCTAAAATTTTGTCAACTTATTACTTGCAATTGCGCGAAGGTTATAGGCATAATACAATTAACTTACAATAGGTGGCGCGCGTATCGTACCAACAAATTTTTTTGAAAGTTATATATTACTCAATTCGATCACCAAATTTTGAAAAAATATTTCTACAATTGTTTCTACTGTGGCAGCAATGCGCCGGGTACCAGCTAGGAGGTTATAAAATTATGTTTTAAAATGAATTATCGTCATAGTTTTCACTTTAGCTCAAAAGTCTACAGCTGAATACTTCTCAAAATATTCTTGCAGCATCCGACGATCCTGGCGTCATTATCTATTCATCGTCTTTTCACGTATTTAATGTCTGTTGTTACAAGGATATAACTCGAAAATTATTTAGTTTAATAATAAATTCTATATTTTTTTTATAGAATATGATGATGGTAACCTGATGGTAAGTGGATGCTGTGGCCCATAGACACCTACGTCTATCCTTGATTAAGTATCAAAATACATGCATTGCCACCCTTGAGGACTAAGATGGATTACCTTGTTTTCAGTAAAAAGGGTGTCAGGTTCTCTATACTAACCATACGAAGCAGCAGCTTTGAGCTGTTGTTTTACGATAGTATTCTGTGAGAGCATCGTGGACGCATTCGTACTATTACCATAATATAATATACTCCAGACCGAATTTCGGTCATGGCAGGCAGCCTCAACGGAGACTAGGCATCGGCGCAGGACAGGATTATAGTGCCCAAGTGGGTGCACTCTCTATTCCCTTATTTTCATCGCCTGATGGGACTGTAAACCGACACGACCGGAGAGATCAGGCGCAGGACCAACGGATTTACGTGCTTTCCGAGGCACGGGGGTTAGAAACCGCCAACTTCTTGACACTACCATAATATAGATGCAGCATGGCTCTATCATGTAAACCATTGCCATATGAGAAGTTATTGCTACATCAGCATTATATTGTCTTAGATAATAAAATACCTCGACCGGCGACGTACAACAGCGCCGAACGTGCGAGACGTCTGGTACTGCTATCTTTTATCCGCCTGCCAGACGTAATGATTAATGCAAATCCCCTCTAACACGAGATAGGGTCTCTCCAGTACAGTACAATATGTCCAGCTGTGGACTTATACAGTCTGTAGAAAAGATACTAAAATTGCAAAAAAAAAAGATATTATAACTTGAAATGAGTCACTATCTTCAAGCGGATTTTATTAACTGCACAGTAAATATCATTCGCGTCATATGATTCTATGTAAAAAATCTACAAATGCTTTGCACTAATAGGTACATAAAACATATGTAGGTACTACCTGTTCCCATACCAGTTTGAGATTAGAAGAATTAAACATAAGTCAGAGAATCTGAATCAGTTAAGGTGTTAAAATATTGACCTAAAACTGAATCCATGAACTAATTTCAGTTTCTTGAAGTTATGTGATGATGACTGATTTAACGCAGTTATAGATATTGATTTGGCTCATTTTTTTACTATAATAAAACTCTAACACGACGCGTCTCTCTGAAAACGCATCATGCAAAAACTTTACAAAACGACTTTCACTGACAGATAGCTGATGTAATAAGGAGTAACTTAGGTTACTTTTATTTTAAGAAAAGAATTAGGGTTCCACGCAAAAAATTAAAACCCATGAAATCCAATCGCAACAAATTCCACGCGGGCAAAGTCGCGAGGAACAGCTAGTTCTAAATAAGAGTAAGTGCATGCACACATTTCCCAGTTTCAATTATAAAATCCGAACGTTACAAGTGTTGACAATGCAATTACGCACTCGTAACTGACCTTTCGTACAAGCACTTAGTTAAAACTAATGCAGGATCCATTTCATGTTGCAAAACAATTTAACTGGCCACACAAAGCGTCGAATTTAAGTAGAAACAAGCTACAAGAGCTATGCATCGTACCTACACAATGCCCAAGTTTATTGCTGTTAGAGCGTCGGCTATAATACTCTAGATAAGCCAACAGAGACAATTTGGCACAAACTGCGCCCTAGTTCCGAAGCCAAACAAGCGCACAATACTGAGGTTTTACATATAGATGCACCCATTTGGCTAACACTATATAAATTAATTGTTTGTGTTTCACTCAATAGAGGACTCAATCTGGATTTGTTTACAGCCTTTGTCACGTGACGTTTGGAATAATTTTAGTCCACGAAATTAAAATAACTTTAACGAAAAGTAAAAACCGACTTCGAAAACCAAAAAAAGATTATATTTTCACATAAAAGCTTCTGAATTCGGTACTATTTAAGTTCTTAAAGTTGGTTTTGGAACGACATTCCTTATCGGACGGTACGAATTTGGCGAATGGGGCTAGGCGAGAAAAAGTGTAAGGTTTATTCGTCACGACCCCTGACGTAGTGTAGACGTCCTTGGCGGCTATAAGAGAACGAGATGGAATATCCAATATCCAATCTCCCTCGCATTTTTTCTTATCTTGCCATGAAAGAAATATTATTTTATTTTACGTTTATATTTTATTATACGTTTTATTTTAATAGACGCTAGTACCTAGTTCATTTATTTATATTTGTTAATCAATAATACTCGTATAATACGTTTATCAATAATAATATACTACGAAAGGAACTTAGTTCCAAATGAGTGTTCCACGACACTCAAGCATGTTCTTTTTAAATTTTTTAAATTTTTTTTTTTTATTTACGCCTCTTTTAGTGGACTCAATAATACCATAAGTTTAAAGTAACAACTATAATGCCATCTAAATAATTACATTAAAAACTTAATTACTATTTTACTACACTTAGGAGAGAATTTTTCTAAATAATCTATTTAATAAAGGAAGAATCATTAAAATCGGTTTAATCGTTTCCGAGAAATCGACGAATATATAACAAACATATGAATTGGATATCTTCCTTCCTTCTCGTTTTTTAAACTTGGTTAAAAATAACATTATTTTGTTGATTTTAATATTAATTCAAACTTACCATGCAAAGCTTTCAGATAAGCTTTTCCAGCTGTTATCATCTGTCGGGCGCCTGGATTGAATTTATCCAGGATATTCTGTAACAAAGAGAAATTAAATATTAAAAAACATTATACTAGTGAAACTTTGCCATTTTAGTGTAAGTATTTTTTTAAAGCAGGAGTGACAAACAAAAGCACATTCAACCTGATGTAATGTGGGTGGTATAGACCAACGACACCTTCAATTATCCTCAAATAAAAATCAAAATGCCGACGGGATGTCTTCTTAATGTTGCGTAGCCTACGCGGCACATTGCGTTTGTAAGTCATATAATATTGTCTAATCAAAAGTTTAACCAGACACAGACATTGACAGTGTATTCGCAGAGAATCCACTACCTTTTATAATGCGTGGGTGTACGAGTATTGAGCAGCATTCAGCTATATTTATCTCATGACGAGTGACGAGAATCGGAATTCTTTTTTTTCTCCTGCAAAGAGGCATTCAATCAAAGTCTGCATTTTTCCTGTCAACGTATTTGCATTTTGATTCTTAATCGTGCATATATTATGTAGGTATCTATGGGCCCATGTGTTTTATCAGGTAAACTGTGTGCTCCTTGTCACTCTTATCACTAAAATACTTTTCATTAGTGATACCTATTAATTTTCATAAATATTAGTTTATAATCTCACTTTTATTGCTCACTTATAACGAAAAGTTGATAACAACTTTGCTACAAAAAATTTGCTACAAACAACAAAAAATAAATATAACATCTATTAAAGTTCGTTTAAATTAATGTTTATTTCGTAAACTGGAAGAATAATATTTTGCTATTATTTAATATCACGATGTCCGTATAATGCAGCCTAAATAATGGGGTAATGATAAATCACAGACGTCCTTTCGTTGACGTTATACAACTCCTACAGAATACTAAACGGTCGTTGTTTAGTGTAAGGACTGCAATACATTAGAACATGATACTGCATATTCACCAGCGTTATCCCTTGTAATGCTTCGGTAATTGGTATTATCTATGGTAGGCTTAGAATATAATACAACTTGATAGTCTTTGGGTTTATATACGTATATATGTAAAATTCTTATTTATATACATATATAGATGTAACATTACTTTTCTGATATTTTTTATAAAATAAGAACTTAAACGGCTTCCTATAAAGGCGGTTTTCATTAGATTTAAAATACTTAGGCTCGTAATTGAGAGAAGCGTTATAGGTGCAAGTCGTCTGGTACTGGCAGCAAAGGTTTCTATGCTTTTCCCCGGCCACCCCCGGAACAATATGGAGTTGCTTACGCGTCCGCCATATGGCAAATATGTCACAAATAACAAGGGGGAATGGGATTTTTGGGCCTGAAGTTAACTAATTGGTTAACTAATGCATAGCTAAACATCTGGCAAGATTTGTTAATCTAGGAGCTGAGTTATTGTAGAAAAACTTTTACTTATTCTACAATAACTTAATTCCTAGATTGACAAATGTTGCCAGATTTTTAGCTATGAATTGTTTATATATTATATGCTTTCAAATGGTTCTACTTTCATCTTGTTAACACCTGGGCCCAAGAATGTATGGAGACGTCTCCTTCTTTTGTATTTATGATCTTTTATGTTAAGAGTACAAAAAAAATCTTTTCTTTTTCTTAAATAACTTTTATTTATTCATTTATTTATACATATTATACTAATTTAGATATTTTTGAGTTAATTTAGGTCAAACTCTTAAAATAATATCTCAGTAAAATTTTGCATAGTAGTATTTAGCCTAAACATATATTTAAATACTTTAATGTGTACGGAATACCGAAGTACCGTGTACGTGTACCGAAAAAAGTTTAAGGTAATATTTACAATGGAATGTCGCGGTGCGTAGAGTAAGCTGGCCGCACCTTAGGAACGAGGCCGGCTCATAGCAGCATCCTTGAGAGGCCGCATTCCAGCACCAGCCTCTATTTACGGTCTAAGTCCTCATTTTCTTTTGCAGTTGCAAATGTTTGCAGTAGTTAACACGTAGTTTATTTATTGTATATACAACAAACTTAGGCCATCAAAGTGGTTCTCAAATATTTTCATTATGATATTTTCGCATAAACGGGATAAGAAGTTTGATTTAAATTCTATTATACAGACAGATTCTGTCTTATATCAATACATGGGTGGAGTACGAATATATTTTTGTTCTTTTTATCTTAAAAATAAAGAAATGGGAGGCTGTTTGTCAGTAATAGATCGGTTTTGTTATGGTGTCTATCACAATAATTAAACTAGTTAGGAATTGAAATTTTTATGTTATGTAAGTACCATAAACTGTGTTTAAACAAAAATACAGAAAATATCGATTCATAGTGTACTTTGTAAGATGTGACCAAATATAAGTGAACATTGTTGCCATGTCTTGCTCGGAAACAATATACTTCTTTGGTCATTATATGTACGGAACCCTAATAGAGCCCAGCCCGACTCACACCTGTAAGGATTTTAATTTTTGTGATATAACTATTAATTATTTAACGTACATAGTCGTTTAAAATTAATTAAGATTGCATCTGAAACAATCTTGAACGGAATGCTCAGGATTTTCATTGTATAGGAATAAGTAAACATAAGTAAAAATAAGTAAACGTAATTAGAAACTGAAGCTTATGCTTCGTTATATTCTTAGTAGTAAAAAAAAAACATTTTCATTTCATTGACGAAAAATATTACTGTAGCTAAATCAACCAATATAAATTGAAATTGAAAACTGCTTGATATAAAACATTATATTACATTAATTGCGTAACACGTTTTAATTGCGTTTTACTGACGAGAAATTTATCTTTTAGATGGCTCGTAATCGTTAAGGTAGGTACTTATATACTTACTGTAGAACTAATTTGTAAGTTTAACCCTATAAGAACACTTGTGGTTTAAAACTCAAATATTATTAATATTAAACGTTAAAATATTAATATTATATATATATTATTAATTATTATATATATAATAATTATAATATGTAATAACAATCTTATATTATATTTCAAAAAGACAATTCAATTCTATGATGTGAACTTTGAACGCAACCATAAGTATGCGGCATTCAATGTTCGCTACTGAACAAATACCAACGTTGAATAGAGTTTATGCACGCTATATTATCTATTACGATCATGGATATAACGTCTCCTTTGTGAGCATATTAAAGTACGTAAGTGCCTTGAACAAAATGGAAGTTCACGTCAGATTCCACCGTCCTAATCCCCAGGTTATTGCCACATTACAAAAAGCCAATGCATTTTCCCTTTTACCCCAATATCGTCGGCCCGGTGGCACGCGTAGGGTTGAACTACGTGCTAATGTGTTTTACGATCTGCCGAACTTAAATTTTGGTCCCTTATTTGTATTAGCGGCCATTGATATTTAGTTTATAACGGTGTCCCTATTCGGGACGTAAATAAGGCTGAGTAAAGTTAAGGGTCGTCTACTAAAGAAGTAAAAACAATAACAATTAATTGATTTGATACTTAATAAACAAAGGTACTCGAGTGGCAGCCTCGTACCGGTAGGCGAAGTGTAGGGCGACCGCTCCCCCCCCCCACACTAGATATAAGACGTGCAGGAAGTCGATTGATGCACATGGCTCAGGGCCATGCTTTGTGGTATTCCTTGGGGGAGGCCTATGGTCAGCAGTGAACTTGTGAAGGGCTGTAATGATGATGATGATGATGGAAAAAAGGAGTGGTTAACTATTTCGCATACTAACTCGTTATTCGTATACATAATCAATAAGTAAGTCTAGTTAAAATAGTTAAAATAAGACTAGTTTCATGACAGAGATCTTGAGAATGAACTGTGACACTTAAGCATACTGTGAGAAAGGAGAAGACCTCGTTGTCTCAGATAGATGGCATTTTACAAATGATATATTACTGATACAAATACCTGGAAAGGCAACGAGAACGGCGCGGCGACAAGATATCTGGTACTTGCGTTCGCCAAATGACGTGGGATTATTACAAACCTTTTGGTAAATGGTGGCCAGCTGTGGACTGTTACGGATTGAAGAAGGCATAACAGCGTTCAGGCCAACTTTGCGTTTTATTAAATCGCATTTAAATTTTGTACATCGCATAACATATATATGTACGAGTGTAGTAACAATCAAGAGACAAACATTTGTATATTACAAAATATCTTTCTTAAACTACTTAGGACACCAACTTTTATATTGTTCGCGTTTCAGACAAACCTTTTCCGTTTTCGTTACTTCGCCATATGATATCCACATGTTTGCGACCGCTTCCCCAAGAGGATTGTCAAGATCAAGAAAGTTTAGTTTCCCTGCCCCCGGCTCTGTTTTATGACACAATAACATTAAGCCCACAAATCAAATCACGTTCCTCGTCGACAAATTTAGACATTTCATACGGAATATATTTCCGACATAACCATGTTTTATGATGCTTCTTCAGTAATAAAGAAAGACACTTAATTTATTTTCAAGACGTCAAAATTTTAGTTATTAGTCCTTACCATGGCTTGTGAGGGTGGGGGAGAAGCTAAATTGCATTATTAAGAGTCTTAACGAAATTTGTAAGTGTCACTCAAGTGTTACTTTAATTTTAAGGTGATTCTGGGGCCATCGTTTTCAGCACGCGCCAGTGTTTTAAATAAGTTATCCGGCCCCATCTTCGTGTTTCGTTTGTTCAATTTCCAATGATGACTAAAATATATGGACTATCGTTCATGGAGGGCGGAAAGTAATATTTCACGGGTTTCGAACACACATTTTAAAATACAGAATACTCTATGTCGTGGGTAGGCTGGTCGGTTATTGCTCGCGTCTCATGCGTAAATCTTAGGGGGTTGTTTCGTATACAAAATACTGAAGCTAAGGGTGAAAAGAAAAATAGATGCGCACTTATAAAAGTTAAGTATGAAACGGAAAAGGAGAATATGATACAGAAATTGAAAAGGAAAATTTAATTGTCTTAGCAAGTTTGGTTATTAGTTTTATAAGTTAATCGGACAAACGGGCAGCCATTGCTCTACATCTTCTGCGGCTCTAGGATTAAAATCTAGGAG